GACAGAGTTCCCACTTCAACCAGTTCCATTCTTCTTATTATTATTTATTAAGCTTATTGGTGCCCCCCCCAAAGCAATTCAAAGCAAACCACAACAAGCAAGCAAGTGGATGCATGCACTGAAACCAGCAGAAAGCAAAACAGAGAAAAATCTGAAAGGCATTTATAATTTTAAAATGCAAAATTAAAATACCACTCAAGGAGGCCACAGATAATTAAAAGCCAAAGGCCTGGCAGAAAAGAAATGCTTTTGCCTGATGCCTCAATATATATAATGATGGTGCCAGGCAACCCTCCCCAGGGAGAACATTTTGCATGTAGGGAGCCACCATAGAAAAGGCCCTGTTCTCGTGTTTCCACCAGTCCTCTCGTGGGGGAGCACAAGGAGGGGGGCCTCAGACAGGGATTGCAGAGTATCAGTTGGTTCATATGGGGAGAGGTGTTGTGGTCCTGAGCCTCATGGTTTTCTTCATTTATTCTCAGCTTTTGAGTTCTATAGAGAACTCTTCCTCTGCCTTAGACAAACAAAACCAAAAAGCTGAGACACTCCGGTGGCCCAGCCAGGCCAGTTGTTCCCAAGATGCCTTTGGAGCAAGGAAAGGGACTTTGTTTTCTGTGAGACATCATCACACAGAGCCACATCCTCATCTGGGTTCCTGGCAAGCTGATTATACTCCACACAGTGTAGCTGAAGCCAGCCTGTCTCCTATTTACTCATGATATTTATATCCCGCTTGAGCTTCCCAAGAGCTCAAGCCATGGTTACGGTCTCCTCCCCCTTTTATCCTCACAACAACCCTGTGAGGTAGGTCAGGTTGAGAGACTGTGACTATCTGAGGGTCACCCAGGGAGCTTCATGGCCAAGGGACGATTTGCATCTGGATCTGCCTGTTCTGAGTGCAGCAGCCTTGCTGCTGAGCTGGTGCCAGACATCCTCAGTGCACACTTCAAAAGGCATTGGCACATGGGATGCTACTTCATCCAATTTCCAAAGCATCTCCTTACTCAGATTCAGTTTTTTCCTGTGAATTGATCCATAAACAAAACAACCAGAAGGTGTTATTTGGCACTGCAGAAGCCAATGAGAAACTTACAATTAGCAACCCACTTCTTTGGGTGTAACATAGAGCCCTACAGGGTTAACTTTCTCTGGCCCTTCCCACAGGGGCCAACCGATGCCTCTAGGAAGCCCACAAGAAGGCCAACAAGAGCACCAAATAAAACATTTTCCCAATTAGACAATTGTAGAAACAGCCCCTGAAACCTCAAGGTGGCTCCTCCTTTTATGGTTTCCTCCACAGATCCACATTCACATTTGAAGAGTGAATGCAAGTGCAACACTTTGCCACGTGGCCTGCATCTCCTTTCACTCCCAATATGCACACCTGGAAGCCATTCCCAGCTCCTCTTCCTTTGTCAAGGAGTATAAGGAAAGTGGCCTGGCTGAAAGAGGTGCAGAGAGTTGAGAGTCATTCTGCAAAGAGGTGACCTCATTGCTGTGATCCAATGAGGGTCATCTCAAGATACGCCCAAGGAAATTGGGGTTTTTTGGGGGGGTGCAGAGGCCATTGCCCAAGGCTACTCATTATATGTGGAAGCATTTCTCTGGTATTAATTAGACATAAAGACTATCTTACTGATATAATTAGTTCCAGGTGACAAAGACAGCATTGAAGGGGGCAGCATTGAAGCCTGTAGGGTGGGGTGCCAAGGCGAGGTACGAAGCCCCCTAGGGAGTTCCTTTGATCCTCATGCTGTTTCTGAGCTACCTTTTTCACCACTGCAAAACTCCTCATCATATTTTAAAAGAGAATGAAAACGGGGAACAGTTGCTGGATCCGCCCTTGTGTGCTTTTTCTACCGCTAGCCCCAAGTAGGTGTGTGAGCAAGTGCCCTGGCAGTCATCTCTAGGACTAGCTATAGGGACATGGGAAGCTGCCCTATTCCAAGTCAGGGCACCGTTGGGCAACTTCCTGGCTCAGCTCTGATGGGCAGAGGCATCAAGATTTCAGGCAGGAGTCTTTCCCCAGCTTTGCCTGAAGATGCTACTGGAGACCGAACCTGGGCTCTTTCCCATGGTCTGCAGCTAGAAGTGCCCAGAGGACAGGGCTGGCTAGGTAGTGCAGTGGTTTGAGTGTTGGTCTATGTCCTGGGAGAGACCAGAGCTCAATTCCCCACTCAGCCATGAAGCTCACTGGGTGACCTTGGGCCAGACTCTGCCTCGCAGTCCTTATACGGTTGTTGTACGGATAAGAAGATAGGGGGAAGGAGCATGTACACCACCTTGGTAGATTTATTTGTATGCATATATACCATTTTCTCCAAGGAGCTCAAGGTGGTTCTCCCTGTCCTCATTTAATTCCCACAACATCCCTGTGAGGTAGGCTGGACTGAGAGAGATTGTCAGACTCAAGAGACAGGGAGCTCCCTGTTCAAACACATCATTCACCTCTTCATTTAGGATTCTCCGAATCCTTTGACCTTCCTCCGCCTTTCCATGCTTACCATTATCAATCTTTTCCCCCCAACTGCTTATCTTATTTTCTTTAATTTGTTAAAAAAAAAAAGTAATCCATTTTCCATGGTTTTTCGTACATTACAAGCATTACTCAAACCCTGCCAAACCTTTTAGTTGTTTACAGTGTTCTCTTAAATACACTATAAATTTTTCCCATTCCTTCTTAAAATTCTTCTCTTCCTGGTTTCTGATTCTCTCAGTCAGTTTCGTCCATCATCTTCATCAGCCATTCCTCTCTGGCTGGAACTTTTGTCTTCTTTCCATCTCTGGGCCAGTAGTTTTCTCGTTACTGTTGTCGTGTACATGAATAGTCGTTTCTGCTCCTTCGGAATCTCTGAACCTAAAATGCCTAACAAAAAAGCCTCTCTCTTTTTCACAAATGTTAATTTAAACATTTTTTTCAACTCATTGTAAATCATTTTCCAGAATGCTTTAGTTACCTTGCACGTCCACCACATCTGGTAGAACGTGCCTTCCTTCTCCTTACATTTCCAGCAAACATTGAAAGTAGTTCTATACATTTTCGCTAATTTTACAGGTGTTAAGTACCACCGATACATCAGTTTCATATACCGTAGTTTTCCTTCAACGCAGAGCACACTGTAAATTTTATGTCTTCCCTCCATAATTTTTCCCAAGATGAAAACTGAATATTATGCCCAATGTCTTGTGCCCATTGTATCATTACTGATTTGACATCTTTGTCCTTAGGGTTGTGGTGGATTCTTTGCTCTGACTCAGCCTCAGACACTGTGAAAGCAGGGCCTTGGCGCTTCTTGTGACTGGGCGGGAGAGGGGCTCATCCTGGCTCTTCACTCGAAGTCCAGCCCTGCTGCCCCACAAACCACAGCCTGCTCTTGTTCTACACTCCCTCTGCAGCTCCAGATCGATACCAGCGCTGAGACTTCGGCTGCGCTTACCTCTTTCCGATAACAAGGACCGGGAGAGGACTATCAAGAAACACATGTAATCTGCAGCAACACCAGCCATACGGGAATCCCACTGCCGGCCTCCAATTGCAGCATAATTCATTTCACAGCGTATGAGGAAAGTTGAGTTATTGGGACATGTGACGTTTATTTAGTTACACGTCTCCGGTGGGAGTTTTCAGGGGCCATTAATGCAGGGTATTTGCATGGCTAGTTTACATGCCTTGGCTTGTTATTGGTGTCTATATTCTTCCTGCTCCTCACTCTCCATTCCCATTCAAAGTTTGGCAGCCGAGGTGTCAGGGCTAAAAAATGGAAGGACCTCCCTCCGAAATGAAATAATTTTGTTGTTCAGTTCCGAGCGATTTTGTAATTTCATGCTTGTGTATGATAATTTTATGCTGTCCTGCTCCACGTAACTCAGCGGTGCCAAAGCCTGACAGGTGATAAATACAATCTTTTCCGCCAGGCGTGCGACAGGCCAGTGTGAGGGGGAGAGGAGGGAGAAAGGGACAATTCTGCACCTCGGTCTCAGCACCTCTGGCATGCCACCCCAGAGCCTTTTCTCCCGCCATTTCATGCCTCAGAGCAGAGCAGCTCCTCCTCCTCCTCCTCCTTGCTGCAGGGCAGGGACAGGGGGCTGGTTGTGTGTCACCCTGGAAGCTGCCCTAAAGTGCGCACAGCTGGAACCGAGACCCCAGATGTGGTGCGGCATGGAATGGGAAGTGATGGTGATTCTGGCAGGCCTCCCTTTCCCCTCCCTCTCTCTGGGCGCCATGATTTAGAGGAGCCTCTTCCTAATGGAATTCAGCAGAACTGTAACCTTTCAGAGAAATTATTTTTACAAATCTGTTAAACATTTGAAAGGCAGCACATTCCAATAAAAGGACAGGATTTCTTAACGTTTATCACCAAGCCATGGGTTTTTTAAACAGTTAAACTTCTGCAGACGATTTTTGTAAAAAATGTTTCTCCTCGGGACAGAGAGGAGGGGGAGAAAATGAGTCCAAAGGTGATTAAGGAAATGCCGGGGGGGGGGCATGATGGTTGCTGGCAGGATGTGAGCGAGAGGCAGACGCAGAGGAATTAAGCAGGTGGAAATGGGAGAGGGAGGGGGAGACCAAGCCGGACCTGCGAAGGAGCTGGGCAAACAGGATCTTGGCTGGGCGACCCTCCTTGAGAGAGGGCTTCATTCTGCTGCACTTCTCATCTGCAACTCCGGGAGGACGCTCCAGAGGGGGGGGGGGAGTGGCCTTCATTTCCAACATTTTCTCCCAGCCTGTGAAAACTGGAAAGAAAGGGCTCAGGGTGGGAAGCTGTGCTACGCAAGCACAAGAAGGAGCAGGAAGAGCCCCCAACTCATTACCAAGAATTTCATTGCTGAGAATATTTATAAACCATTTCAGCAGAGTTCGGAAAGCGTTTCTTTTTTTAAAAATCATTGTTATTTAAGAACATTTATAGATATAGCATGATAGCATTATAGAATTGTAGAGTTGGAAGGGACCCTAAGGATCATCTAGTCCAACCCCCTGCAATGCTGGAACATGGAGCTGCCCCGCACAGAGATCAAACCTGCAACCTGGGTATTAGAAGCACCACGCTCCAACCAACTGAACTATCTAGGCTACAGATATATATGCTTGTACAGTACACCACTTGTTAAATTGTGGGTGAACATATCAGACGACGCAGCGATTTCTCCAAAGCAGCTCTTTATTTGTAAGCTGGAACAGAACTGAACAGCAAACAGCTCAGCCGGCCTGCTTTTATAGGCAGCCGGCTGTCAACATTGTAGCAACAACAACCCAGGGTTTCCACCTAAAGCAACTGACGTGGACCTGAGTGAAAACTACATACACAATACTCCTGGTGGCCAGGGGGAGAACTTCAATACATAACACCTCTTCACCTCTTAAGTGGTACACAAGAAACTTCAGATGCATAAAATACCAGTCATCTGCTGCCCCAAAACAGAGTTTTGCTGTTTTTATTTTATGATTTAAATCAAATTTGTTCTTCTTTAATGGTTTTGTGTGTGCCATTTTTATAACCAGCTCTTCTTGCTGTTGGAGTCTCCTTTCTTGTAACTTGAATCTTTTGGTTCAGATCCTAGCCTCCAGAGCAGGCGATAACAAGCTTGCTCCAACCACTATGTGACAGCCGTTTACATATTTCAATGTCTATCTATCACATCTCCTCTCTGTCTCCTCTTACCCAAGCTAAACATACCATCTGCATGAAGTACATAAAGATTTCTTAAGGAGAGGTGTTGTTACGATGTTGTTGCTTTGCTGTTATTCCTTATTATTGCTACTAATTCTTGTGCCCCACAGTGATGCTCTCCTTGAGTTCAGTCCACTGGGTCAGGCAGAATTGCTACTGAATTCATTTATGCCGAGAGAAGGCCAGCGCCAAGAGTGCCACCCCAGTCTCCATGCAGCAAGAGACTCTTGGAATGAAAGTCAACGGAGACTGTGGTATCTTTAGGATGTATGCAGGACTTTTTTCAGCTGGAACTCACAGGAACTCTCAGGTGTGCACCATTGCCCTTCTAGGAGGAGTTCATGGTGAGGTCTGGCACCTCTTTTCCCAGAAAAATAGCACGGGATGTATGGTTTTATTTACACATACACACACATATATATACACAATCTCCGTGTAGGATGCAGGGGCCCACAGCCTTAACACCCCATTAGCTCTTGCCTCCCAGCCAGGGTTCCAGGGGAGCCCCAAATTCCAGTTTAGGCTCAGCACAGAGCAAGACATCTCTCTGCATCTCCCTTTCTGCTCTCCCACAAAAAGTGAGAGTGGGCTGGAGGAAAGGCCAGGGGCGGACTTTTGCCCCTGTGCCCCGTGCAGGATAACCAGTCATGCGGCCCTAAGTCCACCTCTGGAAAGACCCACCCCTTTGTTTCTGTGGCAAGGGAGCTCACTCTTCTAAGATGCAGATGGCAGGTATCAGCTGAGCAACTCAGGTCATTGCCTTGAGAAAGGGACCAGTTTGGCTGCTCTGCCGGGCTCCCTTTCATACATTCCAGCCTCACAGATACAGGATCACAGGTATGAAAGTTCCCCCAAGGGATCATCCTGACTGACTCTCAGACTCATAGCAATATTTATTCCTTTTAAGCTTTTAAAAAAGTCATCACCCAGCCACCCACCAGATGGACTGGATCATGCTCAGGACTCTTTGCTGCCACTGAACGCAAAGAGGGGAAGCCCGTCCCGCACGGCACCGCCAGGACTGGATGGCATCCCATTGCTCTGAGTGGGGGTTATAGGGAAAAGAGATTTCTGCCTTAGCAGTCACAGGATGCCACCAAGCTCCCAGGGGAACTTGCTGCAGGGGGAGCAGCAAGGCTTCCCTTCCACCCCTCCAGGCTAGGGACACCTAGATGAAGAGTTTTTAAGTTTAAAATCGAGCAGCCTTGTTCCCAGAAAGTCAACACCAGAGCAGGGGCTGAGTGGGTTGTGGCAGGGAAGGAACAGGAAAGACTTATTTGCACATCACATAGTTAAACTATGGCATTTGCCACCAGAGGATAGAATAATAGTCAGGAGCCTGGATGGCTTCAGAAGGTATATGACCTGAAGGAGCGTCTCCTCCTCCATCGTCCAGCCCGGACACCGAGGTCCAGCTCTGAGAATCTTCTGCTGGTTCCCTCACTGCGAGAAGCAAAGATACAGGGAACCAGGCAGAGGGCTTTCTTGGTAGTGGCACCTGCCCTGTGGAATGCCCTCCCATCAGATGTCAAGGAAATAAACAACTATCTGACTTTTAGAAGACATCTGAAGGCAGCCCTGTATTGGGAAGGTTTTAATGTTTGATGTTTTAGTATGTTCTGATATATGCTGTGAGCCTCCCAGAGTGGCTGAGGAAACCCAGTCAGATGGGTGGGGTATAGATAAAAAAATTATGATGATGATAAAGATTACCCACCTGCTGCTGGATTTTTCTGATGTTCTTAATATTGATACAAGCCACCCTGATCTCTTGAGTGGTGATTGCCCAGCTTCAGTGTCCTTGGAATGAAGGTCAGTGGGGACTGTAGTGTCTTCAGGGTATGTGGTTTCATTTACTCATCTATACCACCTGAGCACAGGATGGAGGGGCTCACAGCATGAACACCCCAGCAGACCTCGCTTCTGTATAAGTCACAGCTTTGAATCCAGCACAGAGCAAGCAGGTCTCTGTGTCTACATCTTCCAGCCTGCTTCCAGCTCAGCTCCCCCACACTGCTCTGCTGTTCCCCTGCCTAGCAGCTCAGTGAGGGAGCTGGAGCCCTAGGCATTAGCTCTAGGGCACAGAGCAATTCCTTTGCTTCTGCTAATTAAGGTGCTTAACTAGTCAGCCAATGCCATTGCCTAGACAAAGAGGCTGGTTGGGAAAACTTGTTCTCACAGATACAGGAACCCAGGAATGGGAAAGTAATCGGGGAATCACCCAGGCTGGTGTCCCAAAACATACAATATCATTGGGCCAGTTAAGAGGCTGGCATAATGTTATGCCAACAATAAAGCTGGCATAAAGTATATCAACTCACATTTGATGTAATGGTGAGACAGAGCAGGAGGTCTTCGGACTCCCTCAGGAGCTTATCCCAGCTCTGCCCCAACAGAACTTCACAGCTCACCAAAGGGGCTGGCATGGGACCCACCCAGAAAGGGCTCTTGACACAGCATCAGCCTGGGAGATCTAGGATTGGTCTCCCACTACAAAAAGAGGGGGACCAATCCTAGATGTAGCTCAAATAATTAGTGGAATGGCGTGAGAGGGGGCCAAAAAGACTTCAGGGGCCTTCAGGGCATTCTCAGGCTGACCACTCTCCCTGCTCCCTGCCTCTACCCAAATTCCAGAAATTATATCCACCCTGTAAAGTTCTCCTTCTCCTTCAAGTCGCAAGGTGTAGAAGTTGATCTTCTGGCACATATTTTTTTATCATGTCACATACGGAGCGTCTCTCCAAAAAATACAGATGAAACATACATAACCATTAGAAACTCTGGGAATCCTAGAAGTGCATAAGAACTGATGTATTTCCTGAGGAATGGTATGTATTATATTAAAACTATATAAAGGGTTTAATAAAATGGTGGAAATAAAGCCGGAGCGAAGGCTCTCAATCTGCAGGAGGGGAGGGGAAGCGATCTTTCTTTGATGCCTATTAAATGTTCCAGCAGATGAAACCTTATATTCTGCCAGGAAATGAGTTTGCCACAAGCCGATTGGGGCCTGACGCGTGTGCACGGCTTTACCACTGTCATCCCTCTTCTTCGAGCAGCAATACATTATGCCGCCTCCATTTTTCATTCCTTGCTGCCCCAAATGCAAATTTCCCTCTCTGTTGTTTATATTAGGTTTTCAAATATATGAAAATCCAGCGATTGGAAGGAGAGTGCCAAGGCCAAGAGAGCTTCCTGATCCTTCTTCCCCCCAAATCTGGCGCTTTCCCCGGGGGGGGGGGGGCAAAACTCTGTGCTAAAAAGCAGCCCCTGAAAAGGATGGATTCTGGGTGCATCCTGAATAAACTATACATGTTTCCATGTCTGGGCCTTATCATGCACACTGCTTCTAGATGGTGCACAAAGGGGACATCCAAGCCCCCAGCTCCCATTCAAGCTTGCTGTACTCAGATCTGAGGGCTGTTGGAGAGGGAGGGAGAGTGAGGGGGGCTCCAATGGGTCCCACAACTGGGCACAAAGGAAGGCTGCATCCAAACACCCAGATCCTCCCACCTGTCTTCCAATTTCCCAGACACACCATTTGGTCAGATCAAGATGCTTAAGACAACAAAATGATTCTGGCTAACGTGTTGAGAAGAGCCAGTGTCCCCAGAACCAATCTGCTGATGATGCTGAGCAAGTGGCCTTGAAAGGGGTAAGCTCTGTCTGCTCTACACTGTGAGGCAAAGTACTGTATCTGTTTTGGACTGAATTCTGTGGATATGTTTTCAAGAAATGTTCAAGAACATTTCTTTCCCAAAGGCCACACTGAGCAATTTTTTTGCTTACGGGAAACAAAGAATTTTTGCAGGAGTTCATAGACTCATAGAATTGTGGAGTTGGAAGGGGCCCCAGGGTGCTCTAGTCCACCCCCTGCAAAGCAGGCATCTCAGCTAAAGCATCCATGGCAGGTGGCCATCCAACCTCTGCTTAAAGAGTTGCTGCATAAGCCCTGTTTTCCTTGCTGACTTATTTCTGAGCATCGTGTAGCTGTGCTAGAACTGAGCCTCCTTTGGATACTGGAGTTTGTCAGCCACTCTCCCAGGCCAGTGTGTAGCCATTTTGGGTTTTATTTCTGTTATGCTGATTCAGCCCCAGATCGTTACCAGTAGCTGTTTTCCAGCTCTAATTCCCTTTATGGGTAAACTTGCCCCCCACACCCAATGGCATCTTTCCCACTAAAAACAAAACACAACATTTTCTATTGCACTACATTCTCAGCACCAGCAAAGTTGGCACCACGCTGGGTTGTTGCTGCTGATCCTGCTGTAATTATTATTAATTAAACTTATTAATTACCTTACACAAATATCTCAAGGGGATGTCCAATGAAATACATCAAGTACCTGAGTTAACAAAGGTTAAAAGCACAACAACCACAACCCACTAGAAGCCATCTTCA